CTTTGATTATATCCTTATTAGTAGTTCTTTGATTTTAAAATATAATATATGAATAAATATTAATTATAGTTTTTAAATTTAGTATGAAATTGTTGAGGCCAGCTATGATGTATGGTTCATAGTGTTGGGCAGTTGATAAGAAAGTGGAGCAGATAATAAGTGTAGCAGAGATGAGAATTTTTAGTTGGATGAGTGGAGTGACTAGAGAAGATAGGATAAGAAACGAGCATATAAGAGGAAGTATAGGTGTTGCGTCAATCGTGGATAAGATGACAGAAAATAGACTTAGATTGTTTAGTCATGGNGAAAATAGACTTAGATTGTTAAGTCATGTTATGAAGAGAGAAGAACGAGAAGCTGTAAGAACAGTTATAGAAATGAATTTTGAAGTAAGAAGAGGTAAAGGAAGACCAAAAAGGAGATTGAGGGATGTTATTGAATGCGACATAAGGACAGCTGATGTGAGCGTAGAAGATGTGGGAGATCGTGTCATTAGAAGCTTAGGATAAGGGTGGACGACCCCAAGTAGTTGGGATTAAGGCAAAGGCAAATAAAAAGAAAAAGATTAACAGAAATTCCGGTGGCAATTGACATAATATGATTGTTGTTTGGGAATGTACAATTTAGCGTTTAGTTGGGTTTAAACAATATAGCGTCAAATCAATTACCTACTCTATCGCTTGTATATTAATATACACTACACTTTAATGATACAATAAATAAATAAACTCACACATACACAGGTATGCATTTATAACATTGTGTCTAATGTAAGTTTAACATGATAAAAAGTAACCGTAAAATGATAAAAATGAAACAAAAATTTTAGTACTCATATTAAATGTAACTCGAAAAATATTTGTTTAAATGAAAAAATATAAGATAATTTTATTGTTTATAATTGTCTTTTAAACAACTTTTGTACGAAACTTTTTTTTGTAAGTTTTTTTATTTTTTGAGAAAATTTTTTTTTATTTAAACTTTCATAAATCTTTATCAAAAATTTTTCATAAACTTTAAAGAACCAAAAAAATAGGTTAAAATTGAAAATTTGGACTGATTATTTTTAACATATTAAAAATCAAATCAGTAATAATTTGAAAA